TAACTTCAAGGTTTCTTTCATCCTAAGCAATGAAAATAGTGCTTCAGTTTTATGAATGTAATGCTGCAAAAGGAAATTTTATAGCCTTATACATAACTGCTGAACCGTTAAAATGGCTCTATAGCAGTATGACTATAAAATTGTTTCTCACCTTGTCTCATTTATATGAGTGGTAGTTTCGAAACCTATCTTCACCCTATATAGCCGTATGCCACAGGAAATTTTATTTTGGACCAGGTGAATAGATGGAGTACATTTAAATGAAATTTATTTGCGACTAACTTGTGAAGAGATTGCCAAATGTTATCAAAAAGACCATCTGTTTTTGGTTATGTCATCTGGATCCTGTGCCCTGTTGCTTTTTATTGGACTTTGAAGGACATCTATCTATCTGCTATTTATCAAGTTACAGTTTTTCCACCTTTATAAAACCATTTGTGTCTTCTAAACTTTAATTTTTCACCCCTAATTATCTGACTTTTTAATTACATTTTCAAGTGGCGCTATATATTGAAGCTAATGTGGGCAACACTCATCTAATATATTTCTGAAGATTTATGTTAATAATTCCAAGAGCAGATTTGGTGTGTAAGGTTTTCCTGTTGAACTTAGTTTACATGTATTTTTACAGTGTTGTATTCTTTTGTCAGTTGAATTAGTTAGACAGTTGCATTTTTAGCCGTTTTATATATTCAGAAAGGCTGGGAAGGTCATTATCAAGTCTAAAAGATAGTTCATGCAGTTAATATCATGTTCAGTATCAATATTTAAAACATTTTTCAATATTGTTAATTAGGCTTTTTAAAGAAAGGAAAAGGTGTCATTTATAGGCAGGAAAGATGAGGAGCTTTCCAGCGCAAAATACGTTTAAGCACTCACTTTCATTTGAGCTCTGCATAATTCAGGTGGAGCAAGTTATTAAATCACTTCTAAAAATTTATCTTTTTTTTTTGCATTTGGATTGTAAAACAAACTTTCTTTCCCTGATCCTACTTCATCTCTCAGTCATGCCATGGAAACCTTAGTGTGTTGCATCAGAGAAATGGGTCCTTGGTTTAATATTTAGTCCAAAAAAAATTAGCTCCATTCCAAGAATAGAGAAGAACATTGACCTACTAGAATATAGTCACATCCTGGAAGACTTGACTTCTGACCTTCTGGTTCAAAGGCATCGAATCCTAACATTACCAACCAAGTAAGATGGACACATATTTAAAAGAAATACAACAGATTTTTTTTTCCATTTGCCTAAATTGCACAGTATAGACAACTTGAAACCAGTAATGTTAAATTTGTTGCAGCAGCTAAATTAAGAAATAATATGGACAGATTCTTTATGCAAAGTGATCTTTTCTGCATTCCATTGGAAACTTTGCCACATATGTTATGCCATATGCTGCATAAAGAGAAAAGATCAGTTTTTTTATACCACATACATAATTCTGTTTAAAAGATAATTAAGCTGGTTCCTTTAAAGTGTCTGCTTTCAAAGGCATTTTTTCATTTAAAATCTAAACCAGGATTTGTCTAGCATTTAGGAATGTAAGAAATTGAAATGGAGTAGACCATTTGACCCTTGAGTCTTCTCTGCATGATATCTGGGACTTTATTGATTGAAATGCTCCTAAAAATGGGCCAACTTAAGTCAGTATTTTTGGTCCCTTTTTAAAACCCTGAGACTATGAATCTTGTTCCAGACTGACCAGTCAGGCAAACAGCCTGACGGCTTCTACCCTGATAAAGGCATACTTAATGAATTGCACTTTGCTGGCAATATCACAGACTCCTCCATAACCAGACATGGATCTGTCTTGATCTTGTGGCTGTACGACAGCGTGGTGGCTTAGTGGTTAACACTGCTGCTTCACAGGGACTTGTCTTCGATTCCAGCATCGGGTGACTGTCTGCATAGAGTTTGCATGTTTTTCTCATGACTGAGTTTCTTCTGGATGCTGTCCAGTTTCTTCCCACAGTCCAAAGATGTGCAGGTTAGGTGGATTTGCCTTTCTAAATTGCACATTGTGTCTAGGAGGTGCAGGCCAGATAAATTAGCCACGGGAACTGCAGGGTTACAGGGATGGGGTAGGGAGGTAGGTCTGGGTGGGCTCCTCTGAGGGTTGGTGGACTTGAAGGACCGAATCGCCTGCTTCCACACTGTAGGGATTCTATGAATCTATTCTATAATGACTAACCAGCAGTAGTTGTGTATACTGATAGGCGAAATGACCCTCAAGTCATTGACTTCGGACCTCGTGAATTCTCATCGCTTTAGCTCAAATCTGACCAGGAAACCACCTGCTGATTTTTGCCCACTGACCCCTCTCTCTAATGAATTAGTGTTCTTCCATCTGAAATGCCACACAGAAGGTGCATAAAATGTACTTTGGATGAGGGATTTCAATGCTTATCACCAAGTGATTCAGCACTGTTATTGACTGAACTGTGCATAATTTGAATGACGCAATGTCAAATTGGGTGTATGGCAGGTGGTAAGAGAACCAAGAAAAGGGGAAAACCTACTTGAACTCCTCCTCACCAGTCTACCTACAGCAGATGTATCTGGCCACAACAGTATTGGCAGAATTAATCGATACTCAGCCCTTGTGAAAGGGGAGTGAGTGCCTGTTTTTACATTTAAGTTATCTTCCGTGTTGTATGGCATTACCGTTGTCCCAAATGGGATATATTTTGACTAATTTTGCTGTTCAAAGCTGGATGTCCTTTATACCCTGTGGGCCATCAATCAGCACCAGTAGATTTGTATTCAACCTAAACCTCTCATTCCTCACTCTAACATTAGCATCAAAGCAGGAATCCAACTCTGCCTCAGTGTAAGAGAATATGCAAGGTACAGCACCAGGCATACTTTAAAAGGAAGGTGCCAACCTGGCAGTGTTACAGGGAGGACAATGTGCACACTAAACAATGGAGTCAGCTTGCTATCGACAGAGCAAAATCATCTCACAATCTCTAGACCAAGTCAGAGTTTTGCAGTCCTGCCATATCTCTGTCTGAATGGAGAATAACTAAAGGAAGAGACTTCACAAACATTCCTATTCTCAAAGATGGCAGAGCCCAACACAGTAGTGCAAATGAACTATCTTCGGCTGGAAACACCAAGTGGATAATCCAATTCTGCATCCATCTGTTTGATTTTGGATGTTCATAATCACAGTTACTTAATACAGGGAAGGATAGGTTCACTCAGTTGGCTGAATGGCTAGTTTGTAATGCAGAATGATGTCAACAGGTTCAATTCCCACATTGGCTGAAGTCACCATGAACGTCCTACCCCTTTGTAACCTCTGTCCTTGCTTGAGACGTGGTGACCCTCATGTTAAACGACCACTGATTATCTCTCGCCAGGGAAAGAGTAGCGTATGTTACTCTGGACCTATAGCGACTTAATCAACTTTACTTAATAGAGGCAGTTTACCATTTGTAAGCAATTTTCAGATAGTTTATTGAGTTTAAGAAACAACAGTTTAATAAGATGAAAAGGAACAGGTTTACAGATCCCAAGGCCATCCTATAGACTAGAGAAGCAGAGGCAGTGGGCCCCTGTGGTTTGGAGTGGTTAGGTATTAATCCCCGATTTTCACAATCTACGATGCTCAAAATCTTTGCACTTCCTGTGAATTCCAGGTCTTCTTCCAAAAAAGAGCTCATTCACCTGGGCCATCCCTCAATAGCTCACCTCCCACTTTACCCCTGTTAATATACTTCATTTCTGGAGGCAAATTATGCTGTGTCAATCATCTGTCTGAACTGTTTTAGCCAATGATCATGGCCAGCTACACCTGATGCCAGGATACCCATTGTTACTTAACTGGCCTAAGCATTAATTTATCACTTCTAATAAGAAAAACATGTTGTTTTCCCAAACAATACTTTGTTAATAGGATGAATATGGCCAAAATAAACTATTGATGTCAGTTCAGTGGAGCATCATTAAATCCTGGTGATTCTTGTGACCTTTCCTTTAGTTTTCATATGCCAGACATTTGGAAGGCTAATTACAGCTGTAACAGCAGTTAAACACAATCCCATGCTACTTAGTAAATACTAGGAACATTTATTTAAAGAAACCCCATTTTCTATTATATCTGAGGTCCTAAGCACCACAGCTTCGAATCTTCAGCCATTTTGATTCACTCCACATGATATCAAGAAATGGCTGAATGTGCTGGATGAAATAAAGGTATGAATCTTGCCAATGTCTTGACTCACTCTTCAGAATTAGCAGTATGCCTAGCCAGGCTGTTACTGGTATCTACCTGATAATGTTAGAAGTTGCCCAGATAAGTTCTATCCACAAAACAGGGCAAACCCAATCCAGGCAGTAGCTGCCCCATCAGTTTGCTGTCAATCATAAACAATGAGACATTTAGTCAGCAATAACCTGTTCGCCTCATACTCAGTTTGGGTTCTATTTGAGGTCATTCAGCTTCAGACCTAATTTTGGCCTCAGCCCAAACATGGGCATGAGCTGAATTGAAGGTGAGGTGAGAGTTAACTGCTTTTGACGTAATGGAAGCATTTGACAAGTGACCGCGAAGTGCTGTAACAAAACTCAAGTCAACAAGAATCGGGTGGGATTTTCTGACTGGTAGAATCTTAACCCTAGTACAGAGAAAAATGGCTGTGCTTATTAAAGGTTAATCATCTCAGCCCTTAGGGCATTGTGACAGGAATTTCTTAGGGTGTTGTCCTCAGCTTTAGCACCTTCAGAGACATTAGAAATTACCTTCCCTGCATCATAATGCCATAATCAAGGATGTTCATTAATGACTGCAATGGTTAGTCCTGTTGTAGTACTTCAATGTACTGAAGCAGTCCATGTTCATAGGTTGCAAGCCCTGGACAACATTAAGGCTTGGGCTGTTGAGTGGAGAGTAATATTTGTGTCTCACAAGTACCTGGCAGTAACCATCTCTAACAAAAATTCTTAATTGCCACAACTGAAGTAACTTATAATTTCTTCTTAAACTTTTTAATAGCTTGTCATGGAGTTCTGTGGTGCAGGATCCATTACAGATTTGGTGAAAAACACAAAAGGAAATTCGCTGAAGGAAGACTGGATTGCGTACATCTGCAGGGAGATACTCCGGGTGAGCATGGATCTTGTGCAAAATCCTAAGGCAGATTGTTTGTAGGTGTTAATGACAAAAGAGAGAGAGCAGAAGTGAAAGAATAAACAGTGCTGTGGCTTAAATTAATCAGATTTAACATCAACAGATCCTTTAGAGACTAAATGCTGGAAGTACTCAGCACGTCATGCAGCATCTTGTGGAGGTAGATTTTAATTTGATGTTTCATTAGATTGTTGACCTAAAACATTAATTCTGTTTCTCTTTCTGCTGATATTGCTTGACTTGATTTCCAGCTGTTTCTATTGTTATGTCAGATTTCCAGTATCCATTGCAGAGTCTATTTTAGTATTTTGGACCCTATTCAAACCTGTGAAGAAAATGTGTGTTGAATTTTGAAGAAAGTGGGGAATTAATTACAGATTAGATCATTAACCTTCCAGTTTCTGTTGCAATCTATCTATTTGTACAGAATATTTTCATGATAAGGGATTTCTTGAACTAAATTGTGTGTACCATATTGCTAAAATGCTTTGATTGTTCATTGTTTTATACAACATTTTAATATGGTTGTTTGTATCTTTCAAATTGGTAAATCTGCCAGAATTGTAGAACATAGGCCTGTTCCCGTGCTGTACAGTTCTATCAGCCCATAATGTTGTGCTGAACATGACGCCAAATTAAACTAATCTCTTAAGCCTGCCCGTGGTCCATATCCCTCCATTCCTTGCATATTCATGTGCTTATCCAAGAGTCTCTTAAAAGCCTCTATCATATCTGCCTCCACCACCACCTCTGGCAGTGTGTTCCACGCTCCTACCACTCTGTGTGAAAAAAGCTTGCCCCTCACATCTCCTTTTGAACTTTACCCCTCTCGCCTTAAATCATGCCCCCTAGTTTTAGACCTTTCAACTCAGGGTTGACAGTCGGAATCTTCTTCCCAATCTATGTACCTTAGCCTCTGCCACTCCAGAGAAAACAACCTGAGTTTTTCTAGCCTCTCCTTACAGTTTGAAAAATTATGTTCCAAATGGCTGCTTTTTCTTTACAGGAACTTTGTCAGAATACAAGCACTTTGGTCAACTGCCATTTGTAGTGCCCTTCAGACTTGAAAAGTGTGTAAAATGCAGAAGTATTTTAGGCATCACATAAGATTTGATTGCTTTTTTTTTGCTGTTGTAGTCTGTACAGCAATTTACTATTACACGTTTTGTGGGAGACACAATAAGCTTTTTTGAACTGGACAATTTTTTAGCTGAATGTGAAAGCTGTCCTTTTCCCATTGCAGTGTTTCCAGCCGAAGGTGTACAGTTACTGTGATAGAAGACTTCCTTATTAAGTTGCATGATTAGTTCTGTAGATGTTATAAAATGCTGCTGCAAATTCTACCGAGTTGGACAGAACTGAACTCTTTATCAGTTCATTATCTGGTGCCATTTTTAACATTGTATCTCCCAGCTTATTGTTTTTAGAATAACTAATATTCCAATAGCACACCAGAGGCTGAGAATTCTGCAGCAAGTAACTCCAGTTGCTGACTTTTCAAAGCCTACCTGACACCTACTGGGCACAAGAAAAGAGTGAGATAGAATGCAATCTATTGCCCGGATGGATGCAGCTATTGCGCCACTCAAGAAACATGACATGGTTGAGGATAAAGCATCCTGCTTGATTGGCACCACCTTCAGTATTCACTCCCTTCGTCACTAGTAGATGGTGACAACAGTTTCTAGCAACTCTACACGACTCCTTCCAAGTTTGTGATTTCTACTACCGAGGGCAAGGGAAAGGGAATGCCACCTGCAAATTTTCATTAAAGTCACATGCCACCCTGAGTTGGTACTTTTTGTGTTCCTTTACTGTCCCTGGATCAAAACTCTAAAACTCCCTTCTTTATAGATTGTGGGTGTATGTACACCTTATGGACTGCAGCATTTCATGAAGGTCGTTCACATCACCTTCAAGGGCAATTACGGCTGGGTAATAAATGCTGACCTCACCAGTTGCACTCTCATCCCACGCACAAATTAGAAAATAAGCAAGTGATTTCACTGTTAAGTCCATTTAAAGATGATATTTGTTTTGCATCTAGCAAGAAAATACAGCAAATGGTTTATTAACCGGCACCTAGGAGATCAAGAGGTTCACATAATCAATGTAAAAACACACACTAAGTAATAGAAACTTAATGCAAGGGGTGTGCACTCACGGTTATACTTTATTTACAGCATAACTCACTTAAATAATAACTTAAATGAAACTTACTGGCAGAGAGCCTTCTCAGTGACTCCCTCAACTGACTACTTGGACATCATGGAGATCACAATAATACAATAAACTTCCGATATTTCAGGGATATAATTTTTGTCAGTTTATCAAGAGTGCTGGTTCATTAGGTACCAGTTAAAACCAAGTTTGCTGTACATTATTTGTATATTTTTTTCTTTTGTGTTTAGGGACTGTCACATCTTCACATCCACCATGTCATTCATCGTGATATCAAAGGGCAGAACGTATTGCTGACAGAAAATGCTGAAGTGAAGTTAGGTATGTAATTAACAACAATAACTTGGAGCATTAAAGTTAAAGTAACTCATGTTGCCATGTAATGCAGTTTCTGAAATGAATAAAACAAGTTGATTTGGAATAAGCAGAATGGTTAGGTTTGCAGAGTTGCATAGGGATAGGTTAGATGGAACATTCAAAATAAACAACTTTTTCACTGCTTGCAATTAAAAGGGAAAATTATTTTTAACCAACTTGTTCAGATATGTTACGCCACATCTCTGGGATAGGTGGGATGTGAATAGACCTTCTGGCCCAGAGGTAGATACTCTACCACTTTGCCACAACAACCCCTCCTGCTAGCAGTTCAGTATGAGTTTTTAAGAGATTGATATGTATCCATGTAATGCTGTGCAATGAATGGAGAGTAAGCCTGAGATAAGCTATATACACTTTGTGTGCTCAGTCTGCCTTGTGCTCAATCTATGGCGTAACTCTATAAAAATAATTTGCAGAAAAGAATAATATGAGCAGAAAATGTTGAACAAACTCAGCAGCTCAGCCAGAGTTTGTGGGGAGCGAGAAAATGAATATGAGGTTTTTGACTTGCTCGCCGAGCTGGCTTGTTTTTGTTCAGACGTTTAGTCACCATGCTGGGTGACATCATCAGTGGAGCCTCCAATGAAGTGATGTTATTCTACTCCGCTTGGAATTTATACTGTCCGGCCTGTTATGGTGTTACTGTCATTTCCGGTTTTGATCTGTATGGGTCTACATATGGGGTGCAATTCTATATGTTTGTTGATTGCATTGTGAGTTGAGAACCATGCCTCTAGGAATTCCCTGCGTGTCTATGTTTGGCTCGGGCTGCTATGGTTACTTTGTCCCAGTTAAACTGATAGCCTTCATTGTCTGAATGTACAGATATTAAGGAGAGTTCATCATGCCATTTTGCTGTTAGTTGATGTTCATGTATTCTGATGGCTAGTTTCCTTCCTGCCTGTCCGATGTAATGTTTGTGGCAGTCATTGCATGGTATTTTGTAAACCACGTTCATTGTGCGTGTTATGGGAATGGGGTCTTTAATCCTTAAGTGTTTGTCGTGGAGTTGCTGTGGTGGTCTTAGGAGCCTCGTTGTCAGTTCTGATATGTTCTTGATGTAGGGCAGTGTGGTCAGTGTGTTAGGTCGTACTGTGTCGTCCTGTTGTTGTCTGTTTAGTAGGCAACTGCGGATGAAGTTGCGGGGATATCCGTTTAAAGCGAGGATCTTGTATAAGTGTTCTTCCTCTTCCCGGTGAAGTTCTGGAGTGTTGCAGTGTGCCCTGGCCCATTTAAATAGTGTCCTAATGCAGTTCTGTTTGTGGATGTTGGGGTGGTTGCTGTGGAAGTTGAGGATTTGATCTGTATGGGTTGCTTTTCTGTATTCTGAGGTTTGGAACTGCCCGTTTGTCAATTGTTCTACTGTAGCATCCAGAAATGGAAGTTGATTGTCGTTTCCTTCTTCTCTTGTGAATTTAATCCCTGTGAATACGCTGTTGATGAGGTGGTGGATCTCTTCTAATTTTGTTGCACTTAATAATGATAAAGGTATCGTCTACGTACCGGATCCACAGTTTAGGTTGAATGTGGGGGAGAGTGGTGTGTTCTAGTCATATACAAACAGGTAGAATTGGACCCCATATATAAACCCATACAGATCAAAACCAGAAATGACAGTGCTCACCATAACAGACTGGACAGTATAAATTCCAAGTGGAGTAGAATAACATGGCTTTGTTGGAGGCTGCACTGATGATGTCACCTAGCATGGTGACGAAACGTCTGAACAAAAACAAGCCAGCTCGGTGAGCAAGTCATCGATCTCATCCACAACCCGAGCCACAGGTCTTTGCCAAAACTTTAGACGGTGAATATATCACATCAGGAAGATCTTTGGGATGGTTGGGGTTGAAAACCCTGGGGGGTGATGCCCCCTGGGCACATAGAGAAATCCCTGCGCTGAACCCTCTGCCAGAACAGGCAGAGGAAGCTGTTGGTATGGATTTAATTCTGAAATTGGAATGAGCCTTTTAAATTGGCAAAATTGGGTCTCACTGACCCCAGCACCATTCCTGCTGTGATAAAATTGCAAAAGGGGCAGGTAAATGATGGGAAGGCATTCGGTGTTGGGAGGTCATGTTGCGGCTGCACAGGACATTGGTTTGGCCAATTTTATTGCATGCAGTTCTGGTCTCCCTCCTGTAGGAAGGTTGTTGTGAAACTAGAAATAATTCAGAAAAGATTTAAGAGGATGCTGCCAGGGTTGGAGGTTTTGAGCTATTGCGAGAGGCTGAATAGGCTGGGGCCTTTTTCCTTGGAGTGTCGGAGGCTGAGGGGTGACTTTATAGAGGTTTATAAAATCATGACGGGCATGGATAGGGCAAATAGGCAAGGTCTTTTCCCGAGGGTGGAGGAGTCCAAAATTAGAGGGCATAGGTTTAAGATGAGAGGGGAAAAGTATAAAAGGGATCTAAAGGGCAACTTTTCCACACAGAGGGTGGTGTGTATCTGGAATGATCTGCCAGAGGAAGTGGTGGAGGCTGGCACAATTACAACATTTAAAAGGCATCTGGATGAGTATATAAATAGGAAAGGTTTAGAGGGATATGGGCCAAATGCTGCAAGTGGGTCTAGATTTATGTAGGATATCTGGCCAACGTACACGAGTTGGATCAAGGGGTCTGTTTCCGTGCTGAAACCTTTATGATTCTATGACCAACAGGCAGCGGAATCCTAAATCCCTTTTCCTCTCCTCATAGATGCTGTCTGACTTGAGTATTTCCAGTATCTGCGGTATTTTGCTTTTATGTTGCAGAGTTGCGAACAGGGTTGGGTCTGTATCTGGTCAGGGAGTTATTTGTTATATGGAGGATAGCGACAGTACATTAGAATTGAGGTCATAGTTGTTAAAGTACTTTTCTGAGAAACTAATGAATGAACGGTTAGCTGTCCTAATCCCATATTTTCCCAGTTTCATAACTCATAATGCTGCTAGTATTAGAATTGCAGAGATTTACTTGTACGTTTATGGTGTCGTATGTGAAAGGATGAGTTTATCCCATTATTTCCTTTTAGACCAGATGAGACTCCGGTTCCTTTGTTTAAAAGTGCATTCATGCATGCACAGTTCAAGAAAATGGTGTACAGCTCAAATCTTTATTACATGAACAAAGGTGTTATACAATTTTTACAGATAACAGGCTTCCATTGACTATTCTTACAGAATTTCCATTCAAAAGGTTTCACATATACTCATCCCTGTCTGACTTGATTTACATTTCAAGTTAGTACACATGACTATATTATCTAATTATATTCAAACTAATACGCATGATCATATTATCTAATCGTATAATTATATGTTCACCTCTCTAACTGTGAAACATACCTGTGGTTACAGAAAATTATAGTATTTATTTCACCCCCTATCATGTGCCTTGAAGATGTTTTATTCTTTGTAACTGAGTGTACTATCGGGGTTGCATTCTCACAATTATATTAACTGATTCTCTAGATATGTATGCCATAACATTGAATTGAATGAGCTGATTTATGTTTGTATGACATTAATTTCTGTAGTAGTTCCTCAGATTACCTACCATCAAGTATATTCAAGACTGATATAGAGTCATAAAGATATACAGCATGGAAAACAAATCCTTGGTCCAACTCGTCCAGGCCAACCAGACATTCTAAATTAATCCAATCCTATTTGCCAGCATGTGGCCCGTATGATGCCTTTTAAATGTTGTAATTGTACCCGTCTCCATCACTTCCTCTGGCAGTTCATTCCATATATGCACCATCCTCTGCGTGAAAAAGTTGCCCCTCAGGTCTCTCTTATATCCTTCCCCTCCCACCTTAAACCTATGCCCTCTAGTTTTAGACTCCCCTACCCTGGGAAAAAGACCTTGGCTATTCACCCTATTCATGCCCCTTATGATTTTATAAACTTCTGTAAGGTCACCCTTCAGCCTCTAAGGGTCAGGGAAAATAGCCCCAGCCTATTCAGCCTCTCCCTTTTAGCTCAAACCCTCCAACCCTGGCAACATCCTTGAACATATTTTCTGAACCCTTTAAAGTTTCACAACATCTTCCCTAAAGCAGGGAGACCAGATAGACACAGTTTTTTTTTTAATTTGTAAAGGAATTGAGAGTTATAGGGAAAAAGTGGGAAAGTGGATTATCAGATCAGCCATCATCTTGTTGAATGGTGGAGCAGACTCAGTGGGCTGAATGGCCTACTTCTGTTGTTGCATCTTAAAGTCTTATTACTTTAATAATCCAGAGAAGCAATGTCATTTTAAATTTGTGTCATTTCTCCCCGGGTCTTTTATTAACAGTTAGTGAGAGTGGGAAATTACTTCAGAAATTCAGCACTCTGCTCTTCTGTGTATGGAGGTCTTATGAACACATTGTGCAGGAGGTGCCCGATTTACAGACATCTGACTTATGAACACTCCTGTATCTTTACCCTATCCCACACAGGGTGTAATTTTAAAGATCTGACACGTGAACGTTTCCACTTACATACAGCAATTTTCCTTTGTCTTGTATTGTGTTCCGACTTGTGTACAAATCAACTTGTGAATGGACTTGAGTGGAACTTGTTGGAACCCATATCCGAACAATGCAAGTTACTGTTTACCTGGAATTTTTCATTACAGTTGATTTTGGTGTTAGTGCACAATTAGACAGGACTGTTGGCAGAAGAAATACCTTTATTGGGACACCCTATTGGATGGCACCAGAGGTCATTGCTTGTGATGAGAATCCAGATGCAACATATGATTATAGAGTAAGTTGTTACCTTTCTTTAATTCCAGAATCAGTACTTGGATCTTGTGTGGAAATTGCTATCTCATGTTGCCTTTTTGAATTTGTGAACCCTTTTAGAAATCTATTTATATGGAAATGTGTTATAAAAAAGTCAAAATTTTTGATTTAGGCTGCAGTTTTTACTTACAGCCAATTAAGATGTTGCCACACTGAACCAACAGTTGATTGCAAATGATTATTAAAATGTGTTTATTTTGCCTTGTTAAAATGAAGAAACAGAAATAAAGTCACTGTAAAATTGCATTTTTCACTGATTTCTGTCCTTTATTCTGCCTATTAGTATGCAGAATTGAAAGCTGAATGAGTTACTATGTTTTGTTTTAGAGTGACTTGTGGTCATTGGGAATCACAGCTATTGAAATGGCAGAAGGAGCACCTCGTAAGTGATTTGATACAATGTATCTTTGTAATACAAGTTATCCTTAAATTGGGAACTGTGATTAAAGAGTTACAATTTATCGGAGACCAAAATTTAGATCCAGTAACTTAATGGGATGAAATTGTCCTCTTCCAGCTGAGTCCAAAGTTGAGTTTGGCAAATCTCACAGGACTACTTATGATTTACCATCAATAAGCTATAAGCGATGCATCAGGGGATGCTCCTGTCAGGTTGGAGTTGAGCTGCTTTTGGAGTGTGGCAGAACCCTTCGCTGTCTGTTTGACTTCTGCAGCTTTCCTGGGAGTGCCAGTTGTTGATTTGGAGTGCATAAAATGGAACAATGTTGCATTCTAGCACCAACATCCTATAACTTAATAATTCTGTCAAAGATAGGAAACGAAAATCTTTGAGTATCATAGGTGATTTGAATGCATTTGGTAGTTGTTAGGATAAAACTCTTAATGGTGCGGAAAGATCATCTCTTTAATTTACTCAAGGGACATGGGCATCTGTAGCTGGACCAACGTTATTGCCTGGTTGGCTTGAGAAGGTGGTGGTGAACTGCCTTCTTGAATCAATGTAGTCCATGTGACGTGAGGTGGGGACTGTGGTAGTGTGGAAGTTCAATCTCAACACTTGTAGGATGAAGGGTAAGATATTTTATTGAGAAAAACATAAGAGGTTTGTCAAGCATGTTTAAAAAGGTAATCAAAGGCAGAAATAGAATTACTAAACAGCAACAACTAATTCTTCCCATAGCAGCAACAAGGAAACAGTCAGATGAAATGAAAAGTTTCAAGAATGCCATTAGAAATGAAACTGAAAGTACACTAATGTTGTCAACAGAAGACTTACATGAAGACCATGCATTTGTGGAAATAAACATGCAGCTTTACAGACATTGCATTGCTACATGTGAGGTTCCAGATGGACTTAAAGGCCTCATTGAAAAATCCACAGGGACTGATGATATCTCTTCCCAGAGTTTGAGAAAAATGCAGAGATGGAATGTGTCAAGCGCTGGTGATAATGAGTAAATTGCTGTGAATACTGGAGTGGTCTCTATTGGATAGGAAACAAATTATATTCAAGAAAGGGAGCAAATTTAGTTCAACCGTGTGCATTAATCTAACTTCAGAAACTCATGAGGTAGAAGAACATGTTACTTAAATTATTATTGAGGATTATCTGAAAGTAAGCCCCAAGACTATAGACCGTCCCTGATGTATTGTTGGGAATTTATCTCTGAGTGAATGGTAAAAAACCATACGGCAAGATGAACTTGGATTTTCAGTAACATTTTCTATTTGGTTATGGATGTGACTAAAACTGACCGGGTCAACATTATTGCCCAACCTTACTTGCTACTGAGGAGGTAGTGGTGAGTCCTTTACGAAAGACTGTTACTGAAATTAAGACTTTGGAAAACTGGGATTAAAAACACTGCTTTGATTAAAAATTTATTGGTTGAAAAGGAAGTAACAATTATTTTTTAAGGAAACTAATGGCAGGATGATAGGCAGAAAGAATTATAAGTAGAGTGCCCCAGGGATTGACATTGAGATTTATTATTTCTGAATGAAAGACTAGTTGTCTTTAGAAACTCCAAAGCAAATTTTCAGATGATAACCTGAGGAAGGAGGAGACAAGAGAGGTAAAATAATAAGACTGCAATGAAATTAGCCAGATAAAATATGCAAGTGGACAAATTTGGTTAAGAAGGTTTTTTGAGAAGGTGAAGTTGCTAAAATTGCAAAGAAATGTTTCGATGTAGCATAGAAATAGCTGAAAATGAATTGGAAATGTTTCTGTGCAGGGTTCAGGTGATCATGGTACAGCAGTAAATAAAAATCAGGGATATTGTTCTAAAATTTTACAAGCCACTTCTTGAGTTAAGTGATATTTAGTTTTGATCATCTTGTCATGAGGACATTTAAACTATGGTGATGTCAAAAAGGCCTGGTAATTCAGCTGATCCATAGTATCAAGTGATTGAATTATAAAGATAGGTTGCAGGAAAGGAGGTCCCATTGTCCTGAATGGAGGAGATTCAGTAGTGAGCTGAGTGTATTGTTTAACATTTTAAACAGTATTGGTGAGGTAAATCTAAACAGTTTGCTTTGCTTCAAAGCAAGGGAGAATGTGTTAGAATTAATGAAAGTAAATTTTAAGGTAAATGCCTGGAAGAACTTGCTAAGAGATGCTCAACCCTTGGAATAGTTTTCTGGTACTTCAGAAACTAAAACCAAACCAAGACAGGTGAACTGATGGGGAAATGTATTTACAAATACGTTAGGAAAGATGGATTGAAGAGCCTCCCATATTGATTTTCTCAATTGTCATTGTGGTATTGTAGCAGGGATGCTCTTTTTTGTAAGACTTGTAAATGATTCCACTTCAACATCAACCCTTATTTTCAGTACAGATCCATAAAGTGTTGTTCGTTTTTCATAAAAGCACATTTAGTGTGTATTTAACAACATTGTTAACATTACCAATATCTTAAAAAGCAATGTCATTTAGAGATCTCCTATTGAAGAATGTAAACATGCAGAAAAAAGATCTAATTTGGACCACTTGATATGAAAACCTAATCATGGTTACTGGTTCAAGATAAAACTCTATATTTTTTCCATCCTTATTGTGGATTGCTTAATTGGATTTTTACTCCCCAATGTTTCCTTCTGTAGTTGGTAATGGGAAGTTTTAGATCATAGATCATAGAATCTGGAGGTGTTAGAGAACATATAATTTTGTGTGATGCTAAGAATACGAAGGAAAAACTGTTCGCTTTCCTAAGAAAGGATTCATTCATTATAGTTTCTGGGTTAAAATCTATTAATCCTTTTAATTTGCATAACAGACTTTGTGAAAGAAGAAGAGAAATTGACAGATGAACCTCAAATTATTTAAATTTCATGAAATAAATTATGGATTTCCAGTTCATTTGGCTAATTAATTATGATTATTTGTTGAAGTATTATGATCAGGCAACTGTTCTTTGTATTTCTACATTTTAGCTCTTTGTGACATGCATCCAATGAGAGCGCTCTTCCTCATTCCCAGAAATCCACCTCCACGACTGAAGTCTAAGAAATGGTTTGTATTTTTGTTAATACTCAAAGTTGAAGCAAATTATTTGCTCTTTGACTTTTCAGCTGTAGCAGTACTGATTTCTTATGGTTGGTCAAATAGCATTTTTGAAATGCAGATATACAGATATCACAAGTGTGCATATCTCGCACTCTATGTTAGTGCGAAACATCGGCTTGTTTGATTTATGATCTGTGCAACGTGAATTAAAACAGTTTCATTTACAGCTACGCAACAGCTGTTAATTTTTTGCTAAATTGGTTAAAGGTGGGTTTCTTCTTACAATCTAAAGGGGTTGCTAAATTTTGCATCCTTTCTCCCTCTCATTTTCTGCCTCCTTCCATTTTCAACTGAAGTACAATTATCTTAAGATTTCCGTATTCCCTCTTGGAATACCCAAATGATGTGCTGGAACGAGTCTGGGTTTCTGACCTGGATTTGAAACCAACATCTGGATCTTAATGATCTTTGGAAAATTCAAGCCTTGCTGCACTACAGTAGGTTTTGAGATTTGTTCTTAGAACAATAAGGCCAATGCTGTAACTGGAAATGTATTAAATAATTATTTAGAATTGTATTCATCAGTTGTACTGCCTAATCATTTTTTAGAATAGATAGTTACAATTAATTTCCTTGCTAATGATATCAAACCAGCAATTCAAATGGATTTTCTCAGTCTCAGATTCACAGATGATGAAAAACATACAGATTGCTTCAATAGTACTGTCCTGGCCTGTCCAGAGATGTGAGATGATTAATTGTTTAGCTGCCATGAAATCCTAGTACTGCGTGAGATTGTTTGTGCCGTGCATATATAGTTGAAAATAAAGGTGGATTTTTGTGGTGTAATGCATATATTAAATTTTGAATGTTATCTGAGTGAAGGTTTTTTGAAGATAGTGTTCAAAGTAAGTACTTGTGCAGATATGAACAGTCATTTTTAAGTTATCACCAAAACGTTGCTTAGAACTCTGAACAAAGTCATCTCTGCTGCTGGGTATAAAAATTTAAAGCTGAACAAGAATTGAATGGTTATCGAGTAATTTCATCTCCAATTAATTTCCATTCAAGTGAAAAAACAGATTTTCTTCATTTTCAGGTCAAAGAAATTTTTCAGTTTTATTGAGAGCTGTTTGGTGAAAAATTACATGCAAAGGCCTTCAACTGAGCACCTGTTAAAACATCCATTTATACGTGACCAGCCAAATGAGCGGCAAGTTCGAATCCAGCTGAAAGATCATATTGATAGAACAAGGAAGAAGAGAGGAGAAAAAGGTATACTGTACAATATTGATGCAATTACGAGATACAATTATTTAGTTGCTGATTGTAGGCTTCTTCAGTTAACAAAGGAAAATAATTTTTTATATTAAAACATTACTCCTGTTTGACAAATGCAAGAATTTAAACCTCCATATTCATATATATGAATTTTGAAATTATGTTTCCGCAAGAGGGGTGGCACTGAGAAATGTAGGGGAAGTCAGCATACTCGAGTTTACAATTTATCAATTTAATATACTTTTCCTTATATCTCTAATGCAAAATAGACATTGTTTGCTTAACTTTTGGAGTGATCAGTTAATCAAAGTTGAAAAGACATTCTTTTTACCGATGAAGTAACCTTTCAGAGTAATCAACGCTTGACAAAAATAAACCTCATCTGTTTCAACCAAGACCACATTGGTCCATATTTTGGAGTTACATGGCTGCTTTATCTAGTAGAACCATGTTAGTTAAATAATTGACTTGAAGCCATAACATTATGCAACAATGATTCATATAGTCTCAATGGTGAAGGGAAACTTATTGGATTGAACTTTCACAAAGTTGGTGCAGGCATAATTGACCAAGTGATCTCCTCCTGTGCCGTATGAATCTATGGTATCGGTCAGTTATGAAAGTGAGGCTTCTTTGCCATGTTCAGTAATAAACATTGAGCATCTTCCTTCATACTCAAACAAAAAAGTGATATGATGAAGATTGACATAACGGCTATAAAGCACAATGTTTAATTTAATTTAGATGAAACTGAATACGAATACAGTGGGAGTGAAGAGGAGGAGGAGGAGTTGCCTGAGCAAGAAGGAGAGCCAAGGTAATGTGTTATTTAAAATTAAGTTGTCCTGTCTGGATTTATACAAGTCCAGGATTGGTAATTATTTTGACAAATAGGGAGCAAGTCTTATGGAAACCCCATATGGGCCAATGTTTCTCTTGCAGATTCTGTTTTTTTCCTCTATTTTCACTCCTATAATCTTTGTTTCAGTCTTCCATCTAGTTTCAACTTATCATTATATTTTCTGTCTCTTCAAAATAAATTCTGCCAGAATCACACTGTTCCCTGGCTAAGGGGCTGCAATTGCAAGTTCATTTCAGTAACCTTGAGCTGACTGTCTGTTAGATGCACACACTTCCCCTTCCCCTGCTTTTTATTTTTCCATTCTCTCTTCCTCCTCTGGAAAAAGTGCCCGTTCTGTTTTCTGTACTTCCCTCTATGCTGGTGAGTTCAAATCTATCGTGAGAATTTGTGTACAGCCTGATGCTATCAGTGTTTTTTATCTGCACTGAAATCTACTTCATAAATTATAACCTGTAATTAACCATGCTCAGTTGGCACGGGTAATGTGAAATATGAGAAGATTTAGCTGAAAAACGTACCTTCGTAGCAATTTCCCCTCCACACCAAAAGGTTTTATTGTGAAATTGAGGATGCTTTACAGTAAAACAGTGATCAGGATATGTGTAACCTTATACATGATTGCAATTTGATGTGAATATCACAAGGATATGCAAGAACAGATACTTAGCTTGACTTTTTGAGGGAACAAAGAATGATTAAGTTCAGAGAAAGAACCCATTACACACACATCTTGTTTGAATGAACACAAATACAGTTTGGAAAAAGGTGTAAATTTCAGAGAGATATTTAACATTATGTACATTAGCTTCCTGTGAAAGTACTGTAATAAAATGGTTATCGTGGAAAATATGTTTCATATTTGGGTCGATCTTCCATAGCATGTGTACGTATCACATTACATGCCGCAAAATGGTCGATGAAGCATTGAGTTTGGAAAAGTGTAGTTGAAGTAAGGGTGATAGGACGCTCATGTGAAGCATTACATCCTGCACCAGCATGGACTAGTTGGACCAAGTGGTCTGTTTTTAAGATGTTAATTCTCAATTGCAAGCCAATTTGACCTATGTCTGCAAGAGAAGCAAGTGTAGCTAACAATGTAAAATTGTTGAGAAATAAATTTCATTAAAGTTTGAGAAGTTCATAAGTCTTGACGTATAAAGTGTTTCTCAAGAGAAGCAATTTAGTTATTTTGTACCTTATTCAAGTTGCGTCTTTAAATTTAAAACTTGAGATGTATCATAAACAATCAGTTTTTAAAATCATTATGTATTGAATCTAAGATCTCAGCTCAAGGTTTTTATTTGTTTATGAGCATGCGAGAAATGCTAAGAAAACATCATTGGCCCATTGAGCCTGTACCATGTCACACGTGAAATTAAAGTGATCATTAAACCTATTCCATCCGACTCATCAGTCTAAAGCTGCAGTGAAGCAAAAAAAACCTAAATCTAATTTAAAGGGCCCTGGAGTTGCTTTCTAAACATTTCAAGCAAAGCTCAGGAGATCCAATCCTATGATTGATATCTGAAAGTGCTTTCTTACACAACCATTTATCCAGCTTGTTCACAATTTTAAATTGTGTCCTCTTGAAAGCCACATATATTTGAGACAAAACACACTGATAATGATTTGATATGTAAAGACTGTAAATTAGTATCCATCAAAAAAATCCTGCTGTGGAACCTTTTCAAGGCCTGAAATTTCCCACAATGTGAGGGACAGAAATTAAATTATTTTACATGTGGTTAGTTCAAAGCATTTGTCTGTATTTATGAATTTATTTTTAAACGGCAATGACTCCTAATGTTCTTCATAACAATAGCTCAGTCACTACAACTCCCAGCTTTTTCTCCTGTTCAGCAAGCTTGAATACGCAATCCTTTATGCTTTTACTTACCCTTGTCCAAATGCATAGGGTAACACGGTTCATGGGGCCTATTTCATTTATTGCGTCCAAATTTGGCTGCAAACTAGTTTTATAAATTTAGGTTTATTGTACTTGCACCTATCTGCATGGAGGAGAACATTGGGTAAGAAAAGAATTCTTCTTTTGTAGCTCAATTGTTAATGTGCCTGGAGAATCGACTCTTCGTCGTGACTTCTTGAGATTGCAACAGGAAAACAAGGAGCGCTCTGAAGCCATGCGTAGGCAGCAAATCCTTCAAGAACAGCAGCTACGAGAACAGGAAGAGTATAAAAGACAGCTTCTTGCGGAGCGTCAAAAACGTATTGAGCAACAGAAGGAACAAAGGCGACGACTTGAAGAAGTAAGAATTTAAAATAAAAGTCTAGACATTATGATTTGGACAGTTTTTTCAGAAATATTGAAATGATTTAAATATGAGTTAATGTTTGTATTAAGTGCATTAAGACATTAGGCAAGTTTAGTTTGGAATGTGTTGGAATAACTTTAGCAAAAGTATGTTCCGTAACAAAACTGTATATTGACCTAGTTATCCACACATTGCACTACTTTTGGTTTAAAATAAAGTTTCCCTTTTATATTGTAATTTTTTTGGTCATTATACACCAAAGATTATCACCAATTTTACTTTTACTTGAAATTTCCTTTTTCCATTTTTATGTCAAAAGTGATCTGATTCTAACCTTCTATTCCCATGTTATTGGATTGTACCTTGATGCTGTCTAACGTTATGGAAAATATTTCCTTTCAATTCTTGCGTGACCTTGAAAATTTCTATCAAAAGTCGAAAGGCATTCTACTTAACATCAAAAGTGCTTACCGTACTTTCAGCGTACAATGTTGTTCTAAGAAACCATGGGCCAGAGAGGTTTTATTCCTGTAGCTCCATCTCCAATCCATGTTCCCGTTGAATTTATCCTTGCTGCTACACTTGTTTTTTCAATGAAGTATATGTGAATCTTCGCAGATTTGGTGTCCAGCCAGGGTTGTGATGGAATACTCCCCACTTGCCTGGATGAGTGCAGTTCCAACAACACTCAAGAAGCTTGACACCATCCAGGACAAAGCAGCCCACTTGATTAGCACTCCATCTACAATCTTTAATATTTACTACCGATGCATCAGTAGCAGCAGTGTATCATCTAAAGGTTATATCACTACAACTCAACTAGCTTCCTTAGACAGTACCTTCCAAACCAGTGACCTCTCTCCCCCCGAGAAGGAAAAGGGTAGCAGATAAATGGGAGGACCACCTGCAAGTTCCCCTCCAAGCCCCTCACCTTCTGATTTGGAACTAACTTGTCATTGCTTTGTTGTTGTGGGGTCAAAATCCTGGAAGTCTCGCCCAATTAGGACTGTGGCTGTACCTAAGCTACATGGACTGCAGTGGTTCAAGAAGGGAGCTCACCACCACCTTGCCAAATGCAATTAGGGATGGGCAGTAAATGCTGGCCTAGCTATTGGCAACCACATTTTGTGAATTAAGTTCTTTTTTCAAAAAAAATCAAGTTTATTTGATTTGGAGAGGCCATGAAGGTAGAGTTATTTCAATGTTTTTGCTATCCTTATACTTTGTGGACAGTAGAAATCATGTGCTCAGGCTTTGAAAGGAACTTTGACAAGTTGTTGAAATGCATCTAGTAGAAGATGCAGAGATAACAAATTGTAGAGCTGGATGAACACAGCAGGCCAAACAGCATCAGAGGAGCAGGAAGGCTGACGTTTCAGGCCTAGACCCTTCATCAGAAAATGTAGAAGATGCACACTGCAGCCAACTGTGGAGGGAATTCGTGTTCTGAGGTGATGGATTGGGTGTGGATCAAGTGAACTGCTTTGTCCTTGAGGATGTTGAATTTCCTGAGAGTTGTTGGAGTTGCACTCAGTCAAGTAAATAGAGAATTTCACAGCCCAGATTTAGGCTTTGAATTGGTGGACGGGCTTGGGGAGCCAGGAGATATGAGGTACTTGCTGCAGAATTCCTAGTTTCAAACCTCCTCATGTCAAAGAATTCACCTGGCAGTCCTAGTTAATCATCTAGTCTATGAATTCCTCTTCCACCCTGCCAGATGACTTTGATGAAGATTCAACAGCAGTAAAGTGAGACGTGAATGTGATAGCACTGGAGGGGATACAGAGGAGATTTACCAGGATGTTGCCCAGGATGGAAATTTTCAGTAATGAAGAGAGATTGGACAGTCTGGGGTTGTTTTCCTTAGAGCAGAGAAGATTGAAAGGGAACTTGATTGAGATGTATAATGTCGAGGGACAGAGTAGATTGGGTAGACAGGAAGAAACATTTCCCTTTGATGGAGGGATCAATGACTAGATTCCAAGTAAGAAGCTGAAAGTTTAGAGCAGATATGAGGAAAAATGTTTTCTACCAGAGGCTGGTGGGCATATGGAGCTCACTGCCTGTAAGGGTAGTAGAGGCAGAGACTGTCATGACATTAAGAAGTATTTAGATGTAAGTTGTGATATCAAGACACACAAAACAAGGGCCACGTGCTCAAAACTGGGATTAGAATAGTTAGGTGGTTGTTTTTTTACTGGCATAGACGTGCTGGGCCAAAGAGCTTTCCTCTGAGCTGTAGATCTCAGTAACTCTGGGAAAAGGAGGTGCATAGAGTCTCTTGTTGCCAGGCATGAATTTTGCTAACTGAGGAGTTAAGAAATGGTTCTGAGTTCTGCAATCACCAACAAATATTCCTGTCTCTGACCTTTTGATGGCATGGGAGTGTCATTGTTGAAACAGCTTAAGATGGTTGAGCCAGTGTCTCTATTCTGAAGAATTTCTGCAGTGATATTCCCAGGATTGAACTAAGTGGCCTTCAGCAACTGCATCCATCTAGTTTGACTCGGGCCAGTGTTGATCACTACTGACGTCAGTTTAATATGGCTCCATGAAACCACACTCCAATAAATCCTGCTTTGATGTTAAGGTGCAGTCACATTCACCTCATCTTTGGGATTTAGCTCTTTTGTCATGTTTGGCTCAATGCTGTAATGAGGTTTGGAGCCACATTGTGGCAGTACCCAAACAGAGCAACAGACAACAGGCTATTGGTAAGCTAGTGCCACTTGGTCGCGCTGTCAATGCACCTTATATCACTTTCATAACAGCCTGATTGGATGCAAATTGGCTGGATTGGATTTGTCCTGCTTTTTTATGGACAGCATATACCCAGATAATTTCCAAATTGTCAGGGAAATGTCCTTGTAGCTGTCTTGGAATGGCTTGGCTTGAGCTTGGGCTGCTTATGGAGCACAAATTATCAGCATAATAGCCAGGATTGTTGTCAGGATCCTCTGCATTTGCTTTAAGAAAGTGTTCTCAGTTATGTTTTTATTAAATGGCATGAATCAAATTGGCTGAGGATTGACTTTTGTGATGGTGGGGAGCTCAGGAGGAGGCCAAGATGGTAAATTGACTGGATGATCGCTTAATGTTTGTGGAGTTTTCTCCTCCTGTTGTTTAATTCCCCGCCACTATTTGTGACTGGATGTGACAGGATTTCATATTTTAAGGCCTTGATTTATTGTGTTGTTTGGCATGGCTACCATTTTAATTGGCATAATTGTAGAACAGGTCAAGCAATTTCAAACTGATAGGCATGAGAAACTGTAGCCAATAGCAATAAAACTGCATTCCATCGCAATTTGTAACCTCATGGCCCAGAAAATTTCACTCTCTTGCATTATCATCAAGTTCACAAGAACTGCTGTTTCAATGAGCAGCGTAGAAGAACAGACAAGAGCAGTGCCAGGAATACCTCGAGTTGCCAAATTCTGGTGAGCCAGAGGATGACATACATGCTAAAATGGCAGCAGCAGAATAGAAGGAGCTACGCAATCCCATAACCAATGGATCAAGATTGTGTGACACAGTGTAGTGATTTTCTAGGCAATTTCAGGTAGTTAAGAGTCAGCCATATTGCTGTTGGCTCTGGACTTAAAAAAAACTAACCCCAAACTGGGTAAGAATGCCAGGTTTCCTTGCGCAAAGGAAGGAAATATCATGGGCAATTTTTTTATGATCATCAGGTTGTTCCATTGTCATTATGCTGATAATAGTTTATCTTTCCACTTATGTTATTAAACTACATTTAAATTCCTAACCCATGTGGTGGCATTTTATTTTCTTGTTTTCTGCAAAATCACCAGACCAGCCCGTTGGCTTACTATCACAGTCATTCATTCACTGTGCTACTGTACTCTTAATTTGCAAACTGCCATTAATCAAAACAATCATCATGATTTAATGATGAAAAGAATTACAACAGCATGATCACAATTTAGCCTTGTTGCTGGATAATGAGAGAGATTACAAATTGCTGTTTTACTCAAGAAACAGGTTCACAGCAAAAAGGCGAAATACTGGTGGAATTTAAATCAAAAATGCAAAATTCATACATAGATGGAGTAATCAAGTAAAAAAAGTCAAAGTTTATCATGTTGCATACATTAGGATGTTTTGCGAGAAATACCATAGTAAAAGGATGAGGTTGTTGACTTGCTCGCTGAGCTGGCTTGTTTTTGTTCAGACATTTCGACGTCATGCTAGGTGACATCATCAGTGGAGCCTCCGATGAAGCGATGTTATTCTACTCCGTTTGGAATTTATACTGTCCGGTCCGTTATGGTGAGTACTGTCCTTTCCGGTTTTGATCTGTATGGGTTTATATATGGGGTCCAATTCTATCTGTTTGTCAATTTTGAAGTGTGGGTGGAGAACCATGCCTCCAGGAATTCCCGTGCGTGTTTATGTTTGGCTTGGGCTACTATGGTTACCTTGTCCCAGTTAAACTGATGGCCTTCATTGTCTGAATGCATAGGTATTAAGGAGAGTTCATCATGCCGTTTTGCTGTTAGCTGACATTCGTGTAATCTGATGGCTAGTTTCCTACCTGTCAACATGCAATGATTGCCACAAACGTTACATCGGACAGGCAGGAAGGAAACTAGCCATCAGAATACATGAACGTCAGCTAGCAGCAAAACGGCATGATGAACTCTCCTTAATATCTGTACATTCAGACAATGAAGGCCGTCCGTTTAACTGGGATAAGGTAACAATAGTAGCCCAAGCCAAACATAGACACGCACGGGAATTCCTGGAGGCATGGTTCTCCACCCATACTTCAATCGACAAACAAATAGAATTGGACCCCATATACAAACCCATACAGATCAAAACCGGAAATGACAGTACTCACCATAACGAACCGGACAGTATAAATTCCAAACGGAGTAGAATAACATCGCTTCATCGGAGGCTCCACTGATGATGTCACCCAGCATGATGACGAAATGTTTGAACAAAAACAAGCCAGCTCAGCGAGCAAGTCAACAACCTCATCCACAACCCGAGCTACAGGTCTTTGCCAAAACTTTACATAGTAAAGGGAATCATCTACTAGATGAGAATAGATGATTGGTTGGCAAGTGAAGTCTGATGGAGGCATTCCAGTGGAGAATACACGAGCCAATGATATCTGACTGTTAACTGCCAGCCTTGTTTAAATTTTAAACAAACAGCTTGATTCTGAGTGGTTAAGAGATTATCCTTGAAAAAGAACAGAGGTCGGCAGAGAAAAAAGACTAGGGTCCAAATCCTAATCCCTAGGTAATAAGGTGGGGACTGGAGTCAAACTAAGGAATTTGGCTTTGATGAACCTGAATAACAAAGCACTGCAGGTGCTGGAGATCTGAAAGAAAAAAGCACACTGCTAAAGAAACTCAGCATCTGTGGAGAGAGAAAAATAGAGTTAAAGTTTTGAGTCTAATATGTCTCTTTGCTTCCACGCCATCACTCACTCACCCCCAGGATACCTCTCCTGACCGCACACCCCACCTCTTGACCGACCCCTCCCCCCTGCTGTCCCCCCCCCCCCCCTCCTGTCCCACACCCGTCCCCTCCCCCCCCCCTACAACCCCAACCCCACAACCCCAACCCCAACCCCACCCCTCACCTTCCTTAATGGTCTTACCCCCATCCCTGTTCTGCTCTCCCGCCCCCGCCTGCTCACCCCTCACTTCCCCTTCTCTTGCCCCCTCTCGCCCACCTATGCCTCTACCGCTCCCACTGCTCCTGCTCCATCCTCCCCTGCCCCCTTCTCGCTGTATCTGTATGATTTATGCATTATGGAAATTCTGATTTACCCATTGCCCACAAACGTAATTTCAATTTTCCGAGCAGTTACTTGAGTCAGGCTCAGCGATACCTGCATTCATTACAATTTACTTCATTTACAACCTTCAGTGCCAGCTGATGTTTAAAACATGCTGCTGTCAAAAAGTCATTTGGCCTCTCATGCATGTATGAGTAATGTGGTACATGAACTTCAGTGCCAACGAGACTACAAATGTCTCAAAGACTGGCAGATTGGATGAAACAGCATATTACCCCACCATCCCATACTTGCAGAACTCAAAGATGGTGTTCAACATTAGATGTGATTCTACAGTTGAGCAGCATTTTCTCAATAATTCTGAGTGTGCAATCAATTTTGGATTGTTATTTGGCATCTCAATGTGGTGCATATGTGTGCACTGGGACCTGTTCTTTAAGAAGATGTACATGCAATGTACTTGTTTTACCTCAAGAAAACAGGTGGCAGCCATTTTCAGTTAATTTGTTAGGGTAATGCTATGACCAATCAGGGTCAGCCTGGTTGGTTTACAATTAAAACAAAGCCTGGCAGTTAACTGGCAATTATCACTAACTGGTGCATTCTCCATGACAACACCTCCACCAGTCAGATGTGACTTGTAAATGAATTAGCACTATCCTCTCATAAAGTATAAATGCTGGTTTTCTCCTTGATGTGATATTCTTGTGAATTGTCCTGATGAATGCAGACAAAATGTTTCGACAAAATGTGTCTTTTCTTCCAGCAATAATGTTTAAAGCATAGCCTCTTCTGTTTGGGACAAGCCCTTTTCAAATTGCATGTCGTAGTATGTGTGGTTGCTTTGAAATTATATATTAGTTCGGCTGCACATTAATAACTTAAATAGATATTTACGTAAATAAATTGAAAGCTGCTATTTACCCTGTTTTACTTTTTGGGGAAGTGCTCAATAGCACATTTGAAGTGCTCTAAATTGTTCTCATAGCTATACTTTAAAAGAAAACTCATAGAAATACTGGTAAAGGTGCAAATGACATTTTGTATAGTACCCCGACAACTGAAGGTGAGAGAAGTTAATGTTTTTGCCTGTTAGTTCATTTGTTTGAGTACAATCTATCTCACAAAACTAGTTTGGGAGAAACAAAGTTTGGGAAAAAGGCTATAACTCAATCAGAGATAGTAAGAACTGCCGATGCTGGAGTCAGAGATGCACAGTGTGGAGCTGGAGGAACACAGCAGGCCAGGCAGCATCAGAGGAGCAGGAAAGCTGATGTTTCGGGTCGGGACCCTTCTTCAGAAA